CTAATATTTTCCTACTGCAAGCGCTCTGCAAATTAGCATTTAACGAATTTTCTAGTGTTTAACTTTAAAAATTTACTAGCATTTAATAAATTTTCTTATCCATATTGACTTAACAGTAACACTTCTGTAACTTTTGCACAAAACACTTTACAACATAAGGCACTAATCTGTAACATATTTATACCTGTTTATACAGTTTGCCTGTCAGTAGCACCTTTCTTACTTCTTATAAGAATGAAATCTATAACTTATGAATGAACTTTATCAGCCACCAAACTTATTCTATTTATGTTAAAAATTTTGTATCTTACTTTCTATTGTTATGTATGAAATTAATAAGCTTTGGTGGTTTGCATAAAATATGTTATGCAGAATGATTAGTGTCATGAATAGAAAGTATTGATAGTATTATAGAGCATTATGGCCTAGATAATATTATGTGCTATTAGTACATTTTTGATTATTTGATTAAAAACTTAGATTAAAAATAGATTAAAGATTAAAGATACAAATAACTTTGCTGGGTAAGCAACATTTATATACATATAAAAGAATTAATATTCATTATGTTCTATTATATATGTAAAAGAATTTTTTTGAATTAAGAATATTTGATTGTCAATATAATATAAATTATTTTTAAATATTTATGGCCCTGCAAACAACTGGTAAAGGGAGAGGGTAGAAGCTAATATAACTCATGATCTAGGCCAATGAAAATTAATCTCCGTTCCCGAATTGCAGCGCAGCTGGAGGAGCAGGAAGTGATTGAACTTGTACCAAATATCATTCTGAATCCAGGATTTTTCGACGAAAGAACAGAACACATTCCACAAGATGAAAATTTTAATAACCAAACCACTACACGCTTAAACAATAATAGCGTTGTGCAACCTATGCGACTTTAGCGATTAAATATTTAGATTTCTGTGGCTAATTTTTATTAACAAGTGGCTTGAGCACAATTTATGTGTCACCTTAAACGTAAGTAACTGGAATTATAAGAGGCCTCGAATCCGCCAAATGTCACGAAGCGTAGACTCAGATAAGCAATGAAGATGATAATTACACAAAAAGGAATTTATGTTTATAGTCAGAAAATCATGAGATGCATCATAAACTCCGAATATTTTAAGGAAGTAAATTTTTCACTTACAATACAATGTAAAGTGTTCAAAGCATATGTAAGACTCTGCTAGGTTTTGTGAAATGAAGTAGCACATTTTTGAGAATGTTTATCAGGATGTTCTAAAAATTAAAATTCAATATTATTGCTCAGTAATCGAGCTTAAACTCAAGAACTCCTGTAATCGAAAAAAAAAATTATTCTTAGTAAGACTGTAATTCTAAGAACAAAAGACAAAATTTCCAAGAAACTAAAATCATACGATATTAATATTAAGTGGTGAATCTTTGTCTTATATCCTGCATGAACATGTTTTTTACACTATTATTTTTAACCATTATCATCTAATGAAAATGAAATTTTAATGGACAATATCATGCAGGAAGTAAGATTTTTGCTAACAACACACATTCAATCATTCAATAAATAAATTTTGTCAAATACAAGGTATGATAAAGGCTTGCTTACTGCCGTTTTAAGGTGTGCAGAAGTTATTGGTAAAAAAGTTCCTTTTGCGTGTCTTTATAAAAATTTTTTTTTATTATTATTATTATAAAAATGCTTTTTTTTTTTAGATAATATTTTCTTCCAAAATAATTAAAATTACAAAAATTAATGCACCATATACTCTTTCTGGAAAAATCCTGCGAATCAGAAAATGTATAAAAATCATATATAATTATAAAAGTCATTTTATATTTCTTTCTAATAATATTATATTTCTCATATTTTTAACTTTGCATGTGATCATTCAAATATATTTCAATATAATATTTCAACATGCTTTTGCACTACCTTAATAACAAATGCAATATCCACTGCTATTATAAAAAGCTATAAAATCAAATTTCATCAAAAATAAATTTTAACAAATATGAAATGGCACAATTCTGATGAACAATAAATTTCAATACATAAATTTTTTTAGAAAAGTTAAAAACACTCATTAAAGCATTATAATATCTAGCAAGTAAGAATTATTCATAAATTTCATACATTTGATTAAATTCATTCCATTCAGATTAATAGTAAATATAGGGCAAAATAGAATAAGTTAAAATATTTTGGATATCATCTTTGATAGAAAGTTTGATAATAGATCATCGAAATAGATCTTTTCCAAATATTAATTTGTTATGAGAAATATCATCTCATTCAAATTACATACAAAATTTAACTTAGTCAATCAATAAGGTTGATGATTTTGATAAAAGTTCTTCCTGTACAAACAAATACATAATTATTTTCCACAATTTACATGTAGTACCATATCAGAATTCATCATTATGTAAAGTATATTATAAATATAATAATAATGAGTGCTTAGTGTTGAGGCTTTTCTTAAAAATTACAAATAAAATAGATTTATAGTTATATTACTTTTTTAAAAGAAATTTTTCTCAGGAAAGAAGATAAATTTTATTTATTCTTCTTTTATTATTTTTTGTTAATTAATTTTGTTTAGAACACCTTAAGTGATGGATGTGGAAATGGTTGTGGAAATTGATTCTCGTGTCTATTAGTCTTTCATGTGTTACTAGTAAAACTCATAATATAAGAAACATAATATCTTAACAATTCTACTTAAAATAATTATATAAGTTAAATATTGCTTTTGTCAATGTAAAAGATACTGACAAAAAGCAATTTGGTGCACGCAGGTTGTATAAATATTGGTTGTGCGTTGTTACATTGAAGCTTTGTGATCTGTTCCTCTCTAAAATATAATCTTATAGGGGTGAACAGATTCAATTCGGCTTCGTACTATGCACTCTGTGTTGTGAATGGTATATATATGCGCTAATGAAAAAATAATAATACGATAACAATAATGATAATAATATAATATATATATATATATATATTATATAGCCAAGGCATCATAATATTTTAGCTATAAGCAAAGACAATTTTTTATATAAATTAATAATAATGCTGAAATGCAATGATGAATATTTATCTACATATTCATATACTTGGGTAATTTTATGCTATGATATCGAGCTTCAAAAGTGATCCAGTAGATGCTCATTAAGAGTATTTCATGTAGAATATCATGTTCCTCTTTCCATTTAAAAGAGTCATGTTTTTTATTCTCTTTTTAAAAAATTACACAAAATAATCTTCATATTTACAAATCTTATTCAATGTAATATTTTTGCAAACTAATAATGATTTTAATATTATTTTTCTATGAAAATAATTTTTTCTTCTTTATTTAAAGAATAATACACCATATTGGTTTGAAACATGACTCTTTATTCTATCATGCACATTCAAACTATAATCACTTGTTTCTTCTGAAGAATATAAAATATAAATATATATTTCTGCTGAAATATATAACAATAGATGTATTGTAATTTAAATATTTAACTGTCTCTATCAAAGCTGTCTGGTGAAGGCATAGATTTTGCATTTAGCGGCATTAATAATGTGGTGAAGCCTGATAAAAAAAGAAGTATAAATGTTACTTGATATATAAAATGAAAAATTATTCTTATAACTATCAGCTGCTATGAAAACTAACAATAAAATTTAATCCTCTGATTTTAGGATTCTGCCATTGTATACCATAGATTTGCATATCTACCTATAGAAACAGTTATAAAATAATTTCAATTATATTAGAAATACAATCAATAAAATAATATCATTAAGATCAAGATAAATAGTAGGATAATTATGATTTTTTAATTAAATAATCATTATTTTTTTAATATCGTATAAAATATCTGTTTTCTGCAAATCAAGTATTTAAAATTAATTATGATATTAACAAAATTTATTATTAAGTTAAATAAATCATAGAATGTTTTTATCTTCCTATATAAAAAAATGATCAGAGATTATAATGATGTAAAATAGATATATTTTTATGAAGTAGACATCACATGTTGTAAACTTAAATTTATAACTACAGTGATAATGGCAGATTTTTATGTTATATTATAAATTATAAAATTGATAAAAAAAATTTCAATCTGTTTCTAATCAAGACTGCTTTTCTTCATCTAATTTTTATTTCTTTCATTTTATTCTCTTTTGCATTGATAATCATACAAATACAAAGCTATTAAGCATGTGCATAACATTATACCTTTTGTAGTAAAATATATTGCATTAATATATTTACTTCACATAACACATTCATATGAAATATATTAAGTACAGCACAATACTATAGAATAGTATAATGGTTGCTGGTGGCACCATGAATCGTCCCTAACATACATATTGCTTGCCTATGACATGTGAAAAGAATAAGAAGTTCAATGTAGTTTTTACAAAAAGTTTTTCAAATTACTTGTACTCTTTTTTACAAAAAAAACTCATTTTATTATATGAGATATTAAATTATATGTATTTACAAATCATATTTGTAAATATCATCATTTCTAAGTTCTTTTACTTTTTGTAAAAACTACACATCTGTCGTATCATTACCTAGACTAATAATGTTAGTTTAACATCCTTATATTAAGTGATGATAAAAGAAATTAAACAATATCTCCATAAGTAATATTTTAGCGAATAAGTATTAATCTTGATATTAATTCTGCGATATTCAGTTATAGATTAGTTAAATATTTTTGGTAATTTCTTTATACGATTATTTATTTTGTAAAAAAATTGGAAAAACAAAAACATGTTAGAATCGAAATTTGTATATAGCACTCATATTATTGTTTTGTTTCTATATTTTGTTCATATTTTATAAAATGTTAAATATGATTGATTTATTAATTTACTTTATTTACGTTAATTTTATTATCTGTGAGCGCGTGTGTGTGTGTCTCAAATTATATAATATTCGTGCTAAATCAACATTATTATTTTTAATTTTAATCTAACATATTATAAATTGATTCCATTGTCATAATGTATAAAAAAAAAGTTTTCCTAATATCAATATGTTCATGGTTTATTTTATAAACTATGAACAATGCACATTCCATCACGTACAAATAATACATTAAAAGATAAAAATACAAAAATATAAATACTTGGGTTAAAAATTGTTTAAGTATTTTTATGAAAAAAATAAAGAAAGTCAAGGTTGTGCTTGAATGTCTGATACTCATTAGTTAATATACATATACTTAGCTTTCATACAATCAGAAAACAAATATTAGTTACATATCAAAGAGAATAGAGAAAATTAATTTAGTCACTTTTTCACCTAAAACTGATTGCAATCATCAAATATGAACTATATTGACTGCTATATCTTGTTAATTTTTATAATAGTTGTTAAAAATATTTATAAAAATATTTAAATGATTGAATGAATTATCTTATAATATTAATATTATGAAAATAATTTGATGTACTAATTGTACTATTTTATTATATGATTTATTTATTGAATGAATGTACTAAATATATTAAATTGCAATCAGAAAAAATTCTAATATATTTTTTTTAAGTACTCATTAATTATAGTATTTTACATACCATTGTATTATCATAGCAATATACATGACCAGCATACTTAATAATGTATGTACTATATAATTCTAATTCTATATCATTATCACAATGGTTGTCACAATGGTTGTCATTATAATCATCATATTTCATATAAGAAATCATATTGATTTATTTATAAAAATCATTAAAAATATTGATACAATAAATAATCATTCATACATAATATTGGATATTCCTTTTATTATAATTAATCTATACCAGCAGATTGAGTTAAAAGTAAGGTCTTTTCAATGTCAGAACATAGTTTTTTTATACTATTAGGTGGAGCATATTCTGCTGCTAAAATAGCCGTTGCTATTGCTATTGTTTCTTGAATAGTCCTTGCTTTGACCCAGACTCTACCATTCATACCAGCTGCAACTTCAAATGCTTGATTATGAGCAAGTGTTTTAAATAATGGTGAATTACGATTTAAGATCTTCCTGATAAGACTCAAAGAACAAGTAAAAAGCATGCCTTCAGAGCTTAAAGCACCTAATTTTTTTTCTTTACCATGTGAATCTACACATACAAGTTCAGGTTCCATATCTTTACTAGCAACTAAAAGCTTAGCAAACACAAGATCCCCAACTTGAATATCAGGACGATTTTTCTTAGTAGCTCCTTCAAATGCTAAATAAGAAAGAGATGCTTGTTCACTAGCACCTATATCTACTTTGAAAATATCACCACCTTTTTGTGTTACTATACCAACTACATGTTCTCCACGATTTGGTACATATCTATAAAAAATAATTATGCTATATATATTGTTACTTATAAATTGTAAGTAAAAAATGATAAAAAAATTATATTCAAATAAATTTTAATTACCGTTTTTGATAACTATCAACATAATATACAGCTGGTTCTGTTTTTTTCAATATACCTGCTTTATATGCAAAGACTGTATCAGCTTCACGACGAAGCCCAGGTCCTAAAATAATCGTTTCCTTTTTGTTAATTGTTGTAATATCTTTTACAGTATCACCAGGCATTACTACATCTCCTATATTAACTTCCATTATTCCTTAGAAGTAATTTTTGTTTTCCGTTATAACATAAATTCAATGTTGAAGGTTATAAACATATTATCTAATGTTACTTTTTCTTTTAAAATGTCAATAAAATTATTCATGAAATAAATATATTGCTTATCATTAAAATTATAAATATATAAATTTATATGATAATATAAATTTTATACATTATACCATATTATATAAATCACGTGCATCGATTCATAATAATCGATTCTTAGTTTTCAGCTAATCTCGCGCGTTTCTTTGAAAGAAAAAGCGACTGCGCAATGTAATTTACATAAATTGATGTAATCAATTAAATAAGATTTCTCTTAATATTATAAATGTCTTGAAGAATAGAATATAAAAAATAAATGTTATTTTATCTTTAATACTATTAAAGCTTATTATTAATATAATTCAACTAAATATTTAAATATAATAAAAAAAATTCAAACCAATTGTGAAATATACAAAACAATTATTTAAGTTCTACACTCATATATAATGGTGGCGCCATCATACGGCATGTTGCAAGGCTGCCGCATGAAACGATAACGCCACAGAAATCGTGGTGCTGGTTGTGTTTTTCGTTAATTTGTTTCATTTTGAAACGAATTCAAAAATTAACAGTTGTGTGGATGGCACAATAAGATTATCAGTGATTTCACTAATGTAAAGGTAATATTCTTTAATAATGCAAAGTGTATAACTGTGAAATTTGCGCAGCGTTCACCGGATCGATAATTGATTTACGTGTTCTATTCTAACCTACCTTCTCGTTCCCTACTAAGTTATAAGTTTAATCATTTTATATTGTCAATTAATTCATTGCAATTTATTTAAAATTTGAGATTGAGTACTCAAAGGAATTCTATTAATATAATTTATAATTTTAATACAGATGATCTTTATTCAGGTTTCTAAATGTAACCAATCTGTCTCTTGTATACTTACTGTCATTTATTGTCAAGATATTTATTAATCTGTATTATGTGTAGAAATGTTTTTATGTTTCTTATAATTAATAAAAATATATACATATAATAATATATGTTTGAGATTTTTTTTGTAGTTTAATCTTAAAAAATTTCTATCTTGACATAATAACTTATTTAATTACACAAATATAATTAGTATGTGATTTAAATAATATTTGTAAGAATTTATTGATATATATTTCTATTAAATATATCAAATAATATAAATTTGAATTTTAATTATTTATATTGACATTGATAAAATGTATTTTTAAAATTTTTTTATATGTTATTATGTAGGTATATAATACAAAATGTACAATGGAATTGGATTACAAACACCGCGAGGTTCTGGAACTAATGGACATGTCCAAAGAAATTGGGCAATTATACGTAAAACAAAAGATAAAGTTACTTATAAAACTGATGAAGGAAAATTAGATCAGCTTAATAAGCAACCTAATAAAGAAATTTTAGATCATGTAAGAAAAAGGAAAGTTGAAGTCAAATGTGCAGAATTAGCAGATATTTTGGAGGAACAGGGGTAAGAAACAATGTATATTTTATATTAATAATATTATATATAAATTTTCTTTATTATTTTTTCTTCATTATTATTGTAATCATAATTGCTTTTTAAATAATTAATAATTAATAATTTTATATATAAAATTCTTTTTTTATTATGATATAATAATATCATCAAAAATAGAATTGTTTTAGAAAATAAATTAAAGATTGTGTATGTTATACATAAAAAGAAGTATAAAGCTTCATTGATCTCTTGTACTCAATACTAAATGAGATTTTGAACTTCAATTGGATTTAACTTATCTTTGGCTTCAATTTTTTCTATGTAATATATTTCTTTATTAACTTGCTATGATTAAACTGATATTAGAATTGTTTTTTATTTTGTACTTCATTATGTTTTATAGATTTACATCCGAAGAAGTAACAAAGAAAGTAGAATCATATAGATCTATGTTAATGGGAACTGACACTAAACCAGCAATATCTAGAGATGAATTTGGCCGTGTAAAGTAAGTATATTTCTTTTATTTATTTTTTCTTTTTTTAGTTTTTGATTTTGTATAATATATATATATATTGTCATATTAAAAATTTAGTAAAATAAATAAATAAAACGAACAAATTGCATTTTTTGAACAATTTACTATGAACAATTTTATAATATGAAAATGCATGCAATTTTATAGTTATTTAAATAATAATTATATATATTGATAATATCAGACTTTGTCTAATTCAAAATATTTAAATTATAAATATTCTAAGAAAATTTTATTAAAAAAATTTACAAAAAAATTCTAATTTATTTGAATTCCTTTCTTTTTATTTAGCATAATGAAGAAATTACAATTAATATTTATTAAAAATTATTAATATATAATTCAAACTCATTCATTTATATCTTAAAACGCGTGTATTCGAAAATTCTTAGATTTGGTTTATGAAAGATTTCGAAGTTTGAATCTAATACCGTGAATCGAGCGTATATAAACGCAATATTGGAACAGAAACAGTTTCTGATCGGTAGCTCAGATTCCCGCTAAACCCAATATTATTGAAGGGTGGAGACGTAGTTACGTTCTCTCTCTTCAGTCAGCTTTCAGAGGTATTACGCGGCCGATATCGACGTACTCCATAGCGCCGGCGCCACCCACGAAAAGAGGGAGACACAGAGGTATACAGAAAGAGAAACAGAGATACGTAAAAGGTTGAGCAGGGAGAGGGAGAATTCTGTTCCAGCATCTCTCATACTCTACTCTTTCCACCTCAGTGCGAGGATGGACCGGCGTTGCGACGCTACGTGGCGTCGACTTTCGTCGAGTATACGAATCGTCAACCAATAATACAAAAAAAAAAAAAAGAAAAAAACAAAAAAGAGACCAAGTAGGAGGGAACATGTAACGGTTTCGTGATATATTTGCAAGCAAATCACAAAAGTCTTCCATTAGCGTATATGATTGTATATATATATATATATATATACATACATATATATTATATTATATTATATTCTAAATAATAATAAGTGATAAATCATCGTGTTAAGTGTAATATAAAGTACATAGATTGAGTTTGAAAGAAGAAAAGAAATCTTTTGTGTTCGTCTAACAATTGAATTGAATCTCTGTACTGATTAATACTCACGCACATGTTCCATATAAATACGCACATATTTAAATTAAAATTTTTCCAATCAAAAAAAGACAATATAGAAGATCAAACATGAAAATCCAATTGAAAACCATTGATGATTCATGATTTCGATTTGAAGATTTACAAGAATATAATCTGCACGTGTCTCAAGTGATTGAAAAGAGAAGTCGGAAAATTTGTACAGAATTAAAATTTTTTATAAAAAAATCCATGTGTCTCCAAGTCGACAAATCGACGATAAATAAGATGTCTTGCTTTGGGCTTGATACACTCAGTGTATGAGTCGAAGTGTAGCGACTATAGTGTGCCTGATACGAAGTCTTCCTTAATATATAAGCTAAAATAAAATTACAATATATTCCTATATTCTTACACAAGCCATTAAAATATATGTCTATACAATATATATATACATCATTATATAAAACTTACTAAAAATAGAGATTAATGGAAAAAGATTTACTGAATAATTTCAAATAAAAAGAAGTAAAAAAATTATATTATTTTAAAAAGAATTATTATTGGCAGAAACAATTGATGAAACGACGAAATATTTTTTTCGTGAACAAAAAAAGATAGGAAGAAAGAAAATAAAAGGAGAAAGAAAAACAAAAATGAAAAGTGACATTTTCATCATTGCCGCCGGATGATTGTTCTTGGTAGGATAGCAGAACATTTGAATACGATGCTGGTATAATCAGGGAAGGAAGCCATTATCTTCGCCTCCGATCCTCATCCCCCTTCCAGCCGTCTAAACTATTAAAGCCTGCCTCAAGAAGGATAAAGCTGCATTTGAATTACTTGCGCGACCGACAGAGCTCCTTAGGAGTTTAAATTAAGGACCGATCGTGCTTAACGCTCATTTAATTATCCAGTTGTTAATTATTCAAGCTCATAGTTTATTCTTCAGGTTTGCCAATGGTCAAGAAAATTATTACTAAACGAGAAGAAACAATTTGTTGATAACAATATTGGAATGCGTATAATATATTATTATGAACTTTATGACAGATATATTAAGATATATAATTTGGAGACATTTATATAAAGAATATAAAGAAAAGTAAAAAAAGGATTATCGAGATATATTTCTATGAAGGGATCAATAAACGTTATGCTTATAAATAGAGAAGAGAATTTAATTTTACATAGAATTAAATTTTCATTCCATATTATTAATTTAAAAAGAAGAAGAGAATTCTGGCATCGTGGATTTTAGATTCAAGGAATGATTATGTCTGTGACGGTAACTCCTTTGAAACCAGCTCGAGGACGGGGTCCGGCTGATGGTCGTGCATTTTTTGAAACGTTGTGGAGAGGAAATTTCTTTCTGGATAGACAGAAAGTAATGAAACGATCGCGAAAACGAAAATTGCAAGCAGCGAATGGAAAGAAGCGTGCACAACTGCAGATGCGACAGCATTGTTGCTGTTGTCAGCGCATACAACTCCACCTCCTCGCCGGACGGCGAAGCAACATGCGCTCCGTCGTCAGGTGAATTTAACACAAACAATTTTTAAATTCTTTCTTTTGCATATTGAATATATAATTTTTAATAGTGCATTTTTAATCTTATCTTATTTTTTATTCAGGAGAATCATTTTAAGATAATATTTTTTTATTCTAGTAATTCTTATACTATTATTATTAAATTTTGAAATAATTTTAAATTAAATTAAATGAGTTATTTCATGTAAAATATTTTTATTTTTAAATCTGAGTTAACTATACGGATATCTATGAGAAGGGGAATTAAACGGGATTAATTGATTGAACGGGAATTAAATTTCTTTAATCATAGATTATCATCTAATTGTTGTATATTTAATATTTTTAATGGAACGCAATTTGCTAGAATCGAAGAAAATATCGCTACACATACACACACATACAATTTCTTTAAAATATCAATATAAATAAATTTTTAAATGAATATTTAAAAGAAAAAAAATTAAAAAAAGAAAAAAAAAACAAATGATCAACGAGGGATTAAAACGGCAAATGTTCTCTTTATATTCTGTATGGGGATGACTCACATTGTTGACCCTCAATCCTTCACAAAAGGGAAACATTTCCCTGTAAACAACTGTCACCCTTTAATACGTCATAAATATCGAAACTCTGACTTCGAAATTACGATACAAGAAATAAATTTGTACGATAAAATTTAATCTTATAAAGTTAAAATTAACTTCAACAACAATGGAAAGGAATAAAATAAAATAAAAATAAAGAAAAAGAGAGGAAAAACAATGAGTTTAATGTTCTAAAACAGTAATTACAAAACATTTGATTCATTATATATGTAACATCTACTGTTATTTCATGTAATATCTATTTATTTAGTCAAAAGAGTAAGAATTAAGGGGTGGCAGAAACGAAGAATGAAAAGGAAGAAAAAAAAGAAAAAAAATTAAAAATCATTCCACCCGTTGATCTCCGTTTAACGATGCCTCCGCGAGTGGATTGTTGAATTCGAGCGTATAGCAGGCAAGTAGTGGCGCGAAAGGGATAGCAGAAAAGAGAACAGCTGGATTGTATTGATCCGCGCTCGAGCGTTGGCGTAGGGGTGGCTCGGCCGACCCCGGCCTCGCTTACCGCTACTGCTTTTCACTCGGGGTAGAAGAGGGGCCGCCTCGATTTCTCCTAGTCTACTATTAGGTATAGTCTCTCTCTTCGGTGTTATGTCATTGCTTTGTCGCATTGTCCGGATAGTTCTATCGAAGTTCACCACCGCTACACCGAAGAACACGCTGCCCACCATCTCCACAACGCCTCTTTGCCGGATCTCATTACACGCTCTATGGATCATCGCGAAATTCGGCAATAATTAAGCGGTTATCGAGGTGTTCCGATACCGCGCTACGATGACGGTGAAAATCTCGACGCGGTACGAATTCTTTTTTTTTTCCACCCCCTGTATCGCTTCGATTCGATTAAAATATTGAAATCGGGTCATGTTACCTGTTTTCGTCCCTTCCTCGACGGCGGTGTTTATTTTTATACACAGCGCTGTTACGTTGATCGGATTTTTTTTACCTTGTGTGACAAGTTATTTGTTGATGAAGAGAGAGATTCGAATTCTTGAAGATCGAGTGGATATTCTTACACGGTTTTCGAACGTCATTTCCGATGGCCACGTGTTTCTGGATCTATGTGTGAACTTGGTGTATGCACGGGGTCAATGTGTTATTTGCATATGATTTACTGGATAGAGTTTTTCGATGTTGTTATATGATGATCATTGCATACAAAGGATTTTTAATATCCGACAAATGTTTCTTTCATAATTTGATTTATTTATTAAGATTGATCAATGATCCAAGAATTTTTATTATTGATTTTTACCATTAATCATTTGATTAAACTTATAATTTGTGTGATGCGAAATGACATGCAACGTGTATTTTTTCTTTTAGTGTACGAGAGACACACCAGATTGCCGAAGCGCAACAAGAAAAAAATGCAAAGCTACGCGAAGCGTTTGGCATATCGGAATTCTTCGTGGAAGGAAGTAGCCTAGATCCGGAGAGGCACGCGCGCGAGGCTGAAGCAAGAGCAGCAGCGAGCAAAGTGTATGAACTAGTACGAACTCCAAGTCCAGCTCCGGACACAACGTCCGCTCCAGAGAAGAAAAAACGAAGCGGTCCGCTAGTGCAATCAAAAAAAAAAGGGAAAGAAGCACAAGAAGGAAAGGTAAAAGACAACGTAATGGTGCACGGGTCAATGAAGGCTGGATTCGTTTTAATTAATTGCAAATGAATGGAGAATACAATAATAAGCACAGATAGAAAAAGATTAAAATAATTATATTACTATATTGTACTATGATATATTAAAAAATTGAATACTGTATACTATAGTATAACAGTAGTATTATAAAGCTATACTATAGTATAATAGTAATAAGATATTGCCTAATACTGTATTATATTATAGTGCAATGTAATGATATACACGTGTAACTTGATTATTAAGCAAAAAATTAATATTATTGTGCTATATGAGAAAAAATATACATGAATCCAGGCTTCAAGACCGAACGGACATCCCCCTGTAGTAGCTCCTCTCCTCCCCCCGGTTAATTATTCATTTACCGCAAGTTCCACACTCGTTCATTTGCTTACTACACACCTCTTGTCAGATACTGACTCATGACTCACCTACTATTTCATGTCCCATACACCTTTCTCTGTTTCAAACAGAACTGAGGAGGACTGAGTGCCTACCCAGTAGGCTCAGTAGGTAAGTGTGGTCGTCGCGTCTACTTTCAAAAAAAAATAAATAAATAAATAAATAAAAATAAAAAGTACTTGCAAAAATAAAAAAATGATATAAAATCTCTGCATTAAGAAAAAAAAAAGAAAAGATAATTGAATCTATATTTTTAGGTATTTGTTTTAGGTATTATAATTAGAGGGTAAATGTTTGCTATTTTACTGGAATTCGTATAATACTAATAATTAATAAGATTTTATTTAAAGAAAATGCAATAATATAAGAAACAATAGGCAAACATTTACTTTAATATTATAAATGTATAATATAATATATACAAAATATACTCGGGTTTTTTAAAGAAATAACGTATACGTAATCTGACGCGTAAATCATGCATTTCTATCTTTGTTGTTGTTATCGATAAAGCTTGTTGTTAATGTCATCTCTCTATTTTTTTCTGACAAGTCCGTCCCTATCGATGGTTATCAAGGTAATGCTAATCCCATATTATATCAATACTCCTCATATTTTGTATAATCGTCTTTTGTAACTTTTGAAAGATGTGGTTTTATATAACATGCTTTATCCCTGACTAATTCAAAAAAAGATTTCGCAAAATTTTCTATAAAAAAACCAAATCTTTCAAATGAGTGATTATGTAGTCGGTTTGTTAGCTATAGCCCGATATTGTGACATTCACCTGTATATGTATCGTTGTATTTATATTTTTTATTATTTAATTTAGGATTGCAGTGAAAAATTGAAAAAAATATACATATATAATTTTTCTATTTTTTTTTATTTTTATTTATTTATTTATTTTTTTTTATTGATACGTATTCAAATGTACACTGCATTCCTATACATATACATATATACATATATATCAGTATAAATTAGTTTCTATTTTTTTAATTGAAAACCTTATCCAGATGCTGAGATAGATTAATGCAAAAATTTCGTCAAAATTTCATCGCGTTCTCAATTATTATTTTTTCGGATTTGTTACTTTTTAATCGAATATATTGAGAGCAACAGGTAGCTTGTATCATTAGAATAAAGTATTTGTTTCACACACGGATACATTGTACTACAGCTTTCTTTATTGTCAGCACAAGGTATGCACTTGTCGACAGGAAGACGTCCACTGCAAGAATTAAAAAACTAAATATTATTAATAAAAAAAGAAAAAATTAAATTTGTTCTCAGTGAAACATGTAGAATAACTATGAATGAATTTCCTAGGTCGGAATCTCCAAAGGCTAGCAAAAAGAAAGAAAAATCTAAAAAGAAAAAAAAGGAGAAGAAACATAAGAAGACTGAGGCTAGTTCCTCTGACAGCGATTCTAGTGAAGCTTCAGATGATAGCAGGTAATTAAATTCTTTTTAAAAATCTTTTATATCATTTCTAATTATTATACTTATTTATTAATATAATTAATTATTAATATGTTTTTAGTTCTTCCGAAACTGAATCGAAGAAGAAAAAGAAAAAGAAGAAGAAGAAAACCAAAGCAGAGACAAAAGAAAAGCATGAGGTAGGAAAAATGATGCTAAGGAAACGAATATGAAAAAATTCTATCTTCTTCTCTATTTCTATACATATACATATTTAACTATATATATATATGTGTATATATATATATATATACATATACATATATATTTTAGCACGTGGAACAGGAGCATGTGACATTTAATTTCCGTTCATATTTTTCTCCTATTAGTTGTTAATTGAACATTGGATTTTATAAAATATTTTGTGTTGCTGCCTAACTTTGAATAAGCATGATTCATTGCTTGTTTCTGTAAAGATTTTTATCTGATTTCAAGTTAACAGTCATTATTTCAAAAGTGTAAATCTCAGTATTGTTTGTAATTATCAGCGCCATTTGACAGGATATATTCCCTGAGTGAGTACCAGATATGCCGCTACTCAATGTAATAATAATTTTGTAATTTTTCTATTCATATAAAATTTTGCGATTGTTGTTGCCTTTTCACTCGTTTTGTGTCAAGCACCTTCATATTTATGAGAAAGTATCGAATAGGAGACTGCTTGTTCTCTGGTCTAGGTGCAATGCAAAGAGATTAATATTAAAGCATACATAATGTTCACATTTCAACTTATAACTTTTATTCCTCAATTTCATTTTTCTCTGAACACATTTCAATCTCCAATCAAAACACTTTGTTCATATTGAATTTGTACTAGAGCGAATGAGCAGACTCCAGAGAATCTTTGAATAAATACGATCTCTTTTTTTTTATCTTATTGATAAGTACATATGCATGATCGGTGTTCACTAGATAATTTTGTCTAACATAATAATCTATATTGTTTTTCTTCTAGAAGAAAAAAATAGCCATCAAGAGGAAGCATCAGTCATCTGAGAGTTCGTCAGATAGGTAAGTTTTAGATTAAAAAGTTTTGAAATATAATTATTTTCATAGACAATAATTTTATATATTGTATACAAATTTATTCAATATTTAGCTCCCCAGAGAGGCCGAAGAAATCTATGAAACATGAAAAAACTGTTGAAAAAAATAAAAACGATGAGGCAGAGAATACGACAAAAGAATCTCGATCAAATCGTTCACCAAAGAAACAAGAAAAAGGTCGAAATGAAACTCCACCCGTTAAAAGAAAAGATTCTCCTGTTAAAAAAGTTGTACCAGAGAAAAAGGATAAATCACCAATTGTACACAAAAGTCCTCCACCAAGACGACATAGATCACCATCAAGAAGTAAGGCTGATAGAGGAAGATCTCCTAGAAGATATTCAAGGTCACGACGAATTAGTCCTTCACCAAGAAGAAGAAGAATCTCGAGATCTCCGAGGAGATATAACAGATATTCTATATCTAGAAGTAGAAGTCGATCGAGGTATGATCGTTACGGATCACGGCGGAGATTGTCACCTCTTCCTAGACGTAGAAGATCTGATTCTCGACGGAGATCAAGATCACCTAGGAGACAGAGGGATAGACGGGAAAGATCTAGAGAACGTCGTAGAAGTCGCAGTAGAACAAGAAGTAGATCTAGACGATCCACCTTGAGCTACTCTCCTGTAAGAAAAAATCCGGAACGATACAGACACATATTAGAAGAAAATAAAAAACGAGATCAAAAAAAGAACCACGATACTAAACGGAAATCTCGGTCAAACTCCAAAACCAGAAAATTGCGAACAATTACACCAAGAGTTAGACTGCGTTCTTCAAGTGAGGATGAAACCGACATAGCAGATGATGAACCCAAAGCAGAAGATGAAGAAAAAATTAAAGAATTGCATACCTTGAAACGTTTGCAGAGTGGGTTAGCCGCAAAAGCTAGAGAAACTCTTGGGAAAAAGGTAATAAGTCCTACGAAAATTAAAATTGAAAAAAAAGAAGATAATATATTGGATATAGCTTTACCAAATGAACCGCCCAAATTAGTACAAAATACTATTGGTCCTGTACAAGAAAAGTCTAAGTCAAAATCACCTATATCTCATTTACCTGCTATTCAATCTCCAGTATCTAGCAGATCACCTTCGCCAGCATTGCCATTAACGAGAGAAGAGGCAGCTATAAAAATACGATCTCCTAGTGAATCACCTCCTCCTTTGCCACCAGTCATAAATAAAATAGAATCAAGATCACCGAGTGTGACAGCTAAAACTAATCATCGATCAAAGTCTCCTCCAAGTACTTCCAAGAAGAATTCACCAGTTATTTCAAGGAAACACTCGTCACAGAGTAAATCATCCTCACATTCACCGCCTGTATCTATTTCTCACAAAGATACTACTATAAAATTACGTTCTCCAAGTGAATCTCCACCTCCAATTACGAATAATAAATCGAAGCAAAAATCTGCTTCACCAATTGCAAAAAAGAGTTCTCCTGTTTCTAGAAAGCATTCTCCAAGGGATAAATCTTACTCCAGATCGCCTTCCAAGTCGTACACAAGATCTGTGTCGTTGGAAAAAAGGTCTTCCAGATCGCCTCGGCGACATTCAAGATCCATTTCTACAGACAAGAAATCGCGCTCTGTTTCGAGGAGTAAGAAATCAGCATCTCCTAGACATAGGTCTTCAACGTCACCATCGAGATCCAAAAAATCTCCTAAATCCCCGGTGAGGTCAAAAAGATTAAGTAGATCAAGGTCTTCTTCGGAATCGAAACGTTCCATATCTAGGTCTCCATCACGTTCAAAAAAATCTTCATCTCATTCTCCGGAAAAATCCAGAAGTAGAACGAGGTCGTTGTCAAAAGGATCTAGAAGTCGATCTCTTTCAAAAAAATCCAGAAGTAGATCTTTGTCAAAAAAGTCACGTAGTCGTTCATTGTCAAAAAAATCTAGAAGTCGATCACTTTCTAAAAAGTCAAGAAGTCGTTCGCGATCGTTGTCTAGGGTATCACGAGATAAAGAAAAAAGAAGTCATAGCAGGAGTAGTTCACGTTCTTCTTTAAGGTAAATAAATAATCTGTAAAATATACATATATATATTTTTTATTTTTTTTATAACAAATTTATTTGATATAATCATTTTTTTATATTTAGTTCGAGGCATAGTCGCAGAAGTTTCTCTAGTTCATCCCGATCATCAAGCAGTGTTTCTAGTAGGTCTTCTCGTTCAACGTCTAGCAGTTCTGTTTCTAGCAGGTCTCGTTCTCCGTCGATACCTCGACGTCACGGCTCACCTAGCTTTTTAGATAGACGTCGTATTACAAGGTAGGTATTATAGAACGTAATAGTTTCGATATCGTAGCCGCAGGAATTACAGCGCACCATGCCAAATTTTGTAAGCCCACATCGTTGCATCAATTGTAGAAATGTTTATCTTTTTTCAATATTTATTTTTTTTTATTTCCAATTTTATTTTATTTTTTCGTTATTGATGTGCCTTTTTCACGTTGAAATATTCATTTCTTTAAAAAGTTCAACTAGATAAGCAATTTGCAAGCGACGATATCGATAAGTTTATAACGATTCGTATGAATATTTTTTTTATTTATTAATCTAATGCCATTTTGTATTATGTCCTACAGGGACAGATCGAGGGACAGACATAGAAGATAAAGTTATGGCTTCGCACAGATGTTTCTATTACTTTCTCATAATTATAATGTAGTAGCAAACATGTGATGCATCAATTTTACTTTCATAATAAGTAAATGAAAAAAAGAATGACGCAGATTTAACTGCATTAAAGATTAGTTATAATTAATTATGTATAAACGTAAAAAACCGTGTCGTTTAATAATAATTATTCATGAATATTATAGCACATTGCAACTTTTATCAGTATCGCTTCAGTAATTTTCTAAAAGACTATTATTGACACACGTAACTTCTACATTATAAATGCGTTCGATCAATGAACTCCATTATTTGTGTTACATAAAGTGATCGTATATTTACTCTATCGCACCGATATACGAATTTTATTTCAAGTCAGTAAAGTATACTTATGTTTGTATAATTTTTTCTTCCCCTTTTTCATTTGTATGTAATCGCTTATAAGATAATCTACAAACATTGTGTAGAAGTAGCATGTGTGTATCTTCCTTATAAATTATTGTAAATTAAATATTTACAGTAGAAATTCTCTTTTATTTTATGTCAGTCACAAATAAAATGTATTTACTGCTATGAAAGCAAGCCTTTTTCTTTAGTTCTCGATATACATATATTTTTGTTCGTTGTGAATCATTTTTAATTGACTGCCTTCCTTTACCAGAGTCAAAAATAAGGTAAGTAACGCATTTTTATTTTTGCATGATATTTTTGTTGCATTGCATGATTTATTTCGCACGTTTTTTTTTTTACTCATTAATATTTTTTTATATAATATTAATTTATTGAAAATTAAAATAACAATAATTTATTTGAACATTAACAAATGTTGCGATGATCACAATATTGACAGTTGTTGATTTTAGCGCCAGGAAACGACCAATTCCATATCATCGACCTACTCCAACACCACCTTCGTCACCGAGTAGTTCAGATAGCAGCAGACATAGTAATTGGTCAAGTCCAAGTCATCGATCAAGTTGTTCCCCGAGTCGAAGTCCATCATACACGCGTTGAAGCGATCAAGGATTCTTAAATACTCGACGTTCCTTTTACGTGTCAGATTTGGAATGGCATAGATCGTGAAGATCCGTCGATGCTTTTTCATGTTAAATCATGTTTATAATGTTGAAAATTGGCACGAATGTAAAAAAAAGTTTCATGTATTTTTTTGTATCAGATAGGTACAAAGAGAATACGCCATTCTAAGTTTGGTGCATGATCTTTAAGTCTTTGTAAATTCATAATATGCATTTACATGTCTGATCTCGTAACTTAATAATACTCACTGATGATAGTACATTATGGTATCATCAGCTTCAGTATTAATATATTAACGTTATTGCTCCATTTTTATTTTAATTAGATATTAGGAAAGAAAAATGATTTTAATGTACTTAAATTGGTATTTATATTATTATTAATCTGATTATTATTAAGATAAATTTATTATAAAAAAAAAGTCAAAGATTTAAGTTTAACTATTCTTTTTTTAATTTCGCAAATCTTGAATAAAATTAAAAAAAGTTGCAAAGGTAATCAGATAAGATATTTTAATAATATTAATACACATCGCAATATTTTATAATATAATTATTTTTAAAAGTACATTATCATCATCAATTATATTGTATCACGATTTCATGAATTTTTAAGTCTTCATAAAAATGACATTTTTTCGTAGAATTACATACGTCTAAATACTTCAGCAATAAGAAGGTAATGGTGACTATAAGCATCATGAACTGTGTTAATTACAGCTTCTTGAGATCTCGCGTTATTCAAATAACAATTTTATTATTTAAAAATTCATTTAAAACTACTCTAGTAGTTCTGCGTCCGCGTGATTATTTAATCATATAATTGTTTGTTATACAAACACCAGCTAGTCAAATTTTAGACATTCCATTGATTAAAATATTAGAACATCCAATTAATATTATAATTTTTCAAGGAAGTAATAATTGACATTTTAGTGCAATGTTCTATATGTTTTTTTTGTATATAGATATTATTGTGCATAAATGTAGCACTTTACTCATTTGCTATTTATTTTACATATTAAATATTCAGTGAATTGTTTATTTATTTATATGTTTTTTTTCTAATTTACATATTTATTTATTTATTTATATCACAAATAGTTAATATTTATCAATTTTAAAAGCAAGAAAATTGTATAAAAATAATGTTAAATTTTTAAAGTTTCATTTACTGGCAATACTCAATTTACCTGAATACTAGTCAGAAAATTTTCTTTTGGCTGTAAAGCCAGGCAGCATACTAAAAGACATAATTAGATTAGTCTTGATTATTCAAAGTTAAGTCTTGAAAATATATGTATAGGGTTAAAAAATCATATTTGAAAAGTCTACATTGTTTATAATTAGGACTATGTAGAATTAGCTCTTGCATAATGACTGACTCACTTTTATTAAAAAAAAAAATAGTCAATTGTTATGGCGATGCAATACTAATTTTGTCCTAATGCATATCTATGAAACAAAATTGAAACGTAAATAGTTATCATAAAATATTTATTTTATAGAATTAATATAATAACTGAAAAATTTATTTTATCATTTGTGTTTTATATTATAAAACTCTAATAAAATATGAAATTATTTATATGAACATATAAGAAAAAAAATTTGTTATATTTTGCACACCATGACTCTTGACTTTAATATTTATTATTCATAATTTACAGCCATCAAATGTTACCATCGTTGAAATGAAAGAAATTCTGATTATATCTGTAATATACTCTGTATTGTTGTTGTGTGATTAAATTAAAAAGCTTAAAAAATTGCCTTTTTGTTTCACAAAACATATAAAATTTATTTGTAAATATCTTTATATCATACATTTAGATGATATCCAGTTAAATATTTCAGTTTTTAAACTATATAGATATATAGTAATAGCTTAATATATTAAAAATTTTAATATAGGAATGAAATTATTTACATATAATATATTATTATCCTTACCAAATATGAACCCCAATTAACTAATCATCTCTTTTATATTTAATAACAACATATTAGTATCAAATTTATATTATTTTTTTATTCCAGTTGTTTTTGATTGTTTACTCCGTTGTTGTGCAAGATATATAGCCCAAAAGAAACCAATAAGATTTACCACAAGAACACGTAACTAAAAATCAAATATATACCAAATATATATTAATTTTTGAAATTCTACAAATTTATAAACACATAATTTTATCTTAAGCATTTTGAATTTTAAAATTTAATGGATTCAACTTACTATTGATGGAACATATTTTAAATTAATGAATTGAAGTAATGTTAAATATTTTAAATTTGCAGTAATTACTGGCCAATATAAGCTTTTCATTTGTTTACATGCATTTTTGTGTGTATTACCCTATAAAATTTCAATTTAAATTATTAAAATAAAATTAAATATATAATTTAATTTAATATAATATAAGTTGATAAATAAAATTATATAAGCAATCAAAATAAATTAATATAAATAAATCATACCTCAAATAGAGATAACATGTATAGTGCTAATGCTTGGTAACAAGGTGTATATAAGCATCTTTCTACTAATAAAAGCATAAGAGGATTTTTTACAAATAATTGTATATATGTGTAAAAATAATGAGGAAGTGGACCTCCAAATATTAGCCTATAAATAATAGATAATATCTCAACATAATAAAATATTTTTTAATGGAATATCGAATTATAAATTATAAATATGTAGTTTTATTTAAGACCTTAAATATATAATTATTTATATTTACCCAAAGAGAGCAAATGCAAGTAAACTATCTTCATTAAGATGTTTTACACCAGAAATTTTTTGTGACAAGAAATTTCCGAGAGTAGCAATAATACAACTAAAAAATAAACAATATTTTCCTAAAATATAATTTAAAAATTAATGTTAAATTGATGTTTATTATAACATACCTAGTAATTGCTTTAGTTTTCACTGGGCTAGTATAAAGTCGCTCAAAATAAGCACTGGTAAGTTGAAGAATTAAATTTCTAGGTTTGGATAAAGCCATTCTGTTTATTCTATTCTTTTATGTTGAATAATTGATAATTGAAATTTAAATGTGATATTTCATAAAAAAAAATCGAACGACCTGATAACAAGCAGTAAAAAAAATGTACTATGAACGCTATATGTAAATTATTATGGATTTGATTGATTTTGCATTAGATATATAAATCTTGAATTTATAATGAAAATATTACTAATTTATTAAAATATTTGGTTTATTAATAATTATTAATAATTGTATCATAACAAAAAATTTTTATTTTATAATAACTTACGTAACTTTTTGTAACAACTTGATATTATAATTGACTTTAAAATTTTTTTTCTCATTACGTTTGATAAATTGAAAATGAGGTAAAATATTTTTAAGATAAATTAAAGATACATAATAGATTTTTAATCATTTTTTCGTATAAGTTATATTAATAATTATTTTATACACATTTTTATATCATTTTTGTTAAAATGCGAAAGTATTTTTTTTTCTATGAAGGTTAGGTTAGATAAGTTAAGATATTAGTTTTTTATAAAAATAAAATAAAATGTGCATATAAATATATAATTAATTATTAATATAGAATTAATATAATATATTATTATTATTATTATTATTATATAGAAAATGGCCCAAGGTAAATTAAAAGTAAAAACAAAATTACCATCAACAGTAAAAGAAAAAAATAAAAATAAGAAGAATTTCGCTATTCAACGACGAAATAGTAAGTAATATATATTAATTTCATTTATAAGTGACTATATTTGATTATTAAATTTTATTTTTTAATTATTTTTATTAATATTCATAAATTTTATAAATAAGAAAATTATTAATTTTATTTATATAAAGTTTAAATTTTCTCATTTATAGATGCACCTATTCAGCCTAAAAAGAAGAAATTTGAAGAAGCACATAAATTAAAACAAATGATAACAAAAACAGTTAACAAAGCAATGGAAGATGAATTGAGAGAGAAAGCTTTAGAAGGAAAGAAATCTCTTACAAAAAAAGATTCATCTATCTTAAAAAAGAATTAGGTTATTCAATGTTAATATCAAAAAAGAATATTTTTTTAATTTTTATTAAAATCATAAATATATATCATAGTATAGATATTTTTATATAATACAACTGTTCTTTATCATATTTATAGAAAATAAAAATAAACGATACAAAATATTAAGTATATATAAAGTTAATTACTTAACTTAATATAATATAATCTAAACTAATATATGTGCATAAGGATTCAAATAACAGGAAATATAAAGCAAAATCATGTACCTATTAAAATTTAAAATTATTATTTTAATTTAATTTTATATTGTTATTCCATAGAATAATTCTGAACATGAAATCAATGGCACAATAACTTATGGAATATAAATATAGAAAAAAAATATTAACTTTCAGTGCACCTATAAAATATCCCGCAATAAATTATTTTTTTGTGCAATTATTTGATAATAGTTTCATAGAAAACATAATAGTTTTGTTTTTAATTAATTCATATCAATGATAAAAGTTTTTCATTTCACTGATAATTCACTAATTACAAAAATAAATATTTCACAAAATATTTTACACATCAACTCATATAAGGTACAAAATTGCGAGTGTCATTTAATAAATGTACTAAATATTAATATATTATCTCTTCTTAATAAAATTTCACTCTAAATCACATTGATTAAGGCATTACGTATCGTGCATTTATATGCTGAACACTTCTTTCTAAGTACAAGATCATTTAAAATATTGTTTGGACATTATGGAGAGGCCACCTACAATGTTATAAATACAATACATAAATATTAAAAGTTATATTTTATTTGGAATATTCCATATCACTGAATGTTCTATTTACCACTAGTAAATGTCCGCTTTGTCTGTTTTTACTAATAGCTGGAGTTGTACCAGTTCTAAATTCAATTACACCTTCTTTACCGCTGACTAGTTTATGTGAGACTCTAAAAAATAATTAAACAATTAAATTAAATAATTATTTCGGATTAATACGTATACCGTTAATATAAATCATTTATATTTATACTTACGATTCTGTATTAACAATTTTAAGAATATTGGGATTGTTAGTAATTTCAATTGCTTTTGTTAATGCTTCTATTATATGTGGCACTTCCAAAATTAAATCACCCTAAACAAAATATCATATATATTTAAATCAATATAACGGTATTTATTTTATTTGTTTTTAAACATTATAATAAACCAAACCTTGTCCTTTTTTAATTCGGGTGGTATCCTAACAATCAATAAATTGTCTGATTCTCCGGTAACAACTAATTCTAAAATGGATTTATAAGGTAAACGATGTTTAAGTTTGAATGTTTTTAAGATGTCTAAAATATATACAGCATTTTCTGTTAAAATTAGTACTCTTTCGCGAGGCTTGTAACCGTGTCGGTCATATTTAATAACAGGAGTTATATACTAAAAAAGCAAAAGAAAAATAAATTCATTTTTATTAAAATTTAAAAATATAAATTTTAAATATAAAAAGTTTTTTACTTGTATAGTTTCATCTCTGGGAAGAATATTATTAATAAAGCTTTCTTTCAATGCTACGTATTCGGCACCAAGTCGATCTATTTGAAATTTTGGTCCAAAACTTTTTGCATACGATTTCTTTTTGTCTTTGAATAGAAATTCAGCTAAAATTTTTAATTCGAACTGTTTTTTATCTATTTTTGACAAAGCTAATCTGTAATTACGTGCTTTCCATTTTTTGTACATGATACGTAAATGTTCAGAAGCCTAAATTCAATCATAATTTTTTTTTATAAAGAAATGTTTAAATATAAAAATAAAAAATTATATAACTTACTTCTCGACAAACATATGGACATGGTGGCCAATAATTATTCAAAATACCAACTGGAAGTGTTTTAGAGAGTTTAATTAACCATTGTTTTTTTGCTAATTCGATAAAAGCAACATTAATTTCAGTTGGTGGCCCATTTCGTGTAATGAATCCTTCGATAAATCTGTATGAAATTATTTTAATATGTTATTAATATTTAAAATATTAAACATATATTTAAATAAGGAAATTAATTTATAACCGTCGAATAGTAATAACTGCTTTTCGTCTTTTTTCAGCTTCACGTTTTGCTAACCATCTTCGAATATACTTTTGAAAAACTATTGCTGCTTGTCTCATATGAAGATATCTTCGTCTTAGTAGTATACATTTCCATTTACTTTGAATAATAGCAGCTATCTCATGTTTCTTCATTTGAAAAGCGTCTTCTGTATCGAATAATGTTTTAGGGAATCGAATGAATAATTTTGTGCTATATCAAAATTATATCTAATATTAGATATGTTTCTAATATATAAAAATTATTATATTCATTTATTAAAAATTCTTATTCTTACTTGCCCATCCTATATTCATCTTGTTCGAAACCAAGATGACATACGAGGATTTGTACACCTTCTTTAGCAGGACCATGATAGTTAGGCCATGTTTGTGGACATAGAGATTTATAACGTTGTAAAAACTGTTCATATGGTCTTCTATAGGCAAAACCAGCTCGTCTCACTCTTAGATTTTCCATAAGACCTAAATATTTTACTTGATGCAAGATAATTTTATCGTTGAATTGGTCTAAAACAATATTAGAATTATTCTAAGATATGTAAAATATTTTTCAAATATAATAAAACAGAACTCATTGAAACTTACTGGGCATTTTATAATCATTAGGTTTTATACAACGAATGTATGAAGGTTCTTTCCCCATAAGAATTTCCACTAAATTATTTAAACTATTTTTAAATTGCGTAATAGCGGTATCTGGTCGTTTTTTGCTTGTCAAATCTTTTACATCAAACACGTTCTACAAAATCACAATATTTAATGTTAATAATTAATATAAAAAAAAACGAAAGAAACAATGCCTGTGCTTAATTTAATAAAAATACCTTAATAATTGAATTTGTCGTGTGTGACATTACTTCACGTAAATCTCTATATAATAAGTCATTATTCTTCTCAAGAAATCCACGAACATTATATGTTACTTCACCAGCATAATGCACTAATCTGAATTCCTAAAATATATAATTATGTAAAAATGTTATATTAGGAGATTATATAAAAAATTGAGAAATTTGATTTCGTACATCACGTCCCATAACTTTTTGCGTTTGTAGATCCGCTTTCATATGACTTATATAATGAGGATGATTGTTTAAGTTTACATTTAACTTTTCGAGAAAACTTAAATCTGTTGGTTCTCCAGGACGGAGACATTCTTCGTCCATTAAAGATATTATACCTATAAATATAAGTAAATAAAATATATTATATATACAATTTTCATTAATCTATGAATTCAAATTAATACCTTTATATTTTTCTTCAATTAAATCGCATATGACTTTATTATTAAAATATTGAATATTTTCCCATGTTATTCCTTCTCTTAAATATTCCTCTTGTTCCGATTTCAATGTTAATTGAATGAATAGTTGTTGTAATTTCTCATTACAGTAATTTATACAAAATTGTTCGAAGCTGTTGAACGATACCTTCAATAAATCGTTATTAAAAAAAATATTATTTAATTTTAGAGATTATGTACCTGTTCTTCTGAAAAATTTCGAAACCATAAATATCCAAAATTCCTATAACCATTTTCTTTTTACGATTATTAATAGGTTGCAAAGATTTATTCAATCTAGTCACCAGCCATGTAAACAATCTATCATATACAGCTTTTGCCAATGCATCTCGTGCATAAATCGCGAATTCTCTATTTAGCGGAGAAATAACCACATCACCACGAGCATCTATAGTGCGATTTGTAAAAGCCTCTGCCAATTGTTTGATGTCGCAACCCAATAACTGAATAGAAAAATTGAAAATAATTATTGATCGATTAATTTCTATCATATAAATAAAAAAAATTCAAATTTATAAATAATATGTATAAATTTACCGAGGCAACAGCCTCGACAGAAGCTGGCTTCAAAATTTGCGCGACACCATCTTCTTCGGTAAAACCAACATTTCCCATATGTAATACTGATGCCACTATTGCAAATAAATCATCCTGTTCTTTTTGACTCATTTCCATAGTCTTCATTGCTTTCATAACTTCATTATATTGAGAAACATCGTCGATATTATTTATAGTGTCTTTCGTCTAAATATAATTTAAAATAGTTTATAATATATGTTTACATTACAATTGATTAATTATAAAGTAAAAGAAATAACTTACTCCATTACTGAGATAATAATATGTATCTAAGTTTTTTTTTAGATACAATTTCCGCAAAGTTTCCTCGTTGGCTCCGGCTATTAATTGATAAAAAATATGGAAATTACGTTCTCCTAAAGATTGATGCACTACTCTCGATTTCTCAAGTAAATAATTCAAAATGTTTCCACCGATTGGATCTCCCTGAAAAGATATTAAACTTTATTGATATACGAAATATTTTTTAAAAAATTTTTTTAAAATAAATAAATATGGATATTTAAAATAATATTTAAAATAATTCGATATTAATGCTATTTGATAATATTTGATAAACAATGAGATATTGTTTTATTTGTACCTGGAAATTAAATTGGATATCCATGTATTTGCCAAAACGCGATGAGTTATCATTCCGATTAGTTTTTGCATTTCCGAAAGCTTCGAGTACCGGATTACTACCAATCAATTTATCATTTACTTCTTCTACTTGCTTCTTGTGGCCGGTGGCAGCCGCAATAAACTCTAGTACTTTTTTTGAAGCTTCGGTTTTTCCTGAACCGGATTCGCCTACACAATTAATTTTAAGAATGTTAAATTTATCTTTGGTATCATTCATTAGATTGCTGTAGAAGTAGAATCATTTTTAAAGTTTGACAAACTTTATTACATATTTCTATTTATATATTATTATATATTTCTATTTCTATTTATAATTATTTTTTGTAAATTTTTCATTATGTAAAAAGCATATATAATATATTATAAAATTATAATTTTTTTATGAAATTTTTTAATTATAAATTGAATCAAATTTTATATTTTAAAATTATTAAAATCTTTAATACAAAATCCAGATTTTTCTACAGCAATTCAATCTTACAGGTTCAGATTTATCACTATAATTAGCCCCAACCCTCAACTTGCTTTAACTTGCTTCCTACCAGAGATGAGAATACATTGATCCAAATTCTCCTTCAACAAAGATTGATAAGCAGTATCAGCAAGCGCAAAACTGAAAGAAAAAAAAAAACTTGAATTATCAATCATATTTTATAGTTTAATATCTCTTTTATTACATGTGCGGTGCAGCCTCAAAGAAGTTTCTTCCGTGATAGTACTGAATAGTTTCTGGATTATAAATTGGTAATTTCTTGTAGGGATTC